AAAAAATTATAAATGACTATACCGATACCACAAAAATCTATTGTAATTTACCAGGCTTCTTAACTATGTTGTATTTGGGTCTAAAAAAATTTAATTTCTGTTTGGGAAATAGCACTGATCATAATACTTCAAACTCTCCAACAATATAAGAGCTTTTTACTTGTAAATAACTTAGAAACACCAAAAGAATTACATAGAGAAAATGTAGAGCTTTCAATTGGTCATAAACTTAAGTATAAAAAAGCAGGTGCAGATAAACAAGTTTTCTCAAATAATGAAGTGGTGGGTGGAGCCAATATGGTGGGTTTGATAAATATTATGATATCTCAGCAAACAGAAATGTTAGGAGGTTCTTATTTTATATTCTAGCTTGTCAATATTGGAAATTTGAGTATATGATTCGTATGAAACTATAGTCATTGTATTGTGGGCATAATAAAATGTAATCTGACCAAACCCAGAAGATAACATACCAGGGTGACATATGAAAAAAAAAATATTTAGCTATTTTTTCTATATTTACTTTTAAATTAAGAAATTAACTACTGTATATTACTAAAATCTGAATTAAAATCTTCAATTTGATACCAATTTTGTTCAATCTTCTTTTTCTGTCATTCACCTAATACTGTATTGTATACATGGTTTATTGTTAAACAATGTAAAAAAATTTACATTGTTCACACGTGTCAGAAACATTTATTCATACTGAATAACAAAACCCTATATCATCATCAAATGACTACTGCAACTTCAAAGTTACACCATGAGGTAACTCTTGTTAAAATGAATAAATATATTTCACATTTCACCATAACTACTTTATAGAAATTACACAAGCAAATATTACCAAAAATGCCTCATAAATTTGTAATCTCACCTTTGCTGTAGAAGCAAATATGCAATTCCTACAAAACCATGGAACCTCTGGCTTCAGAATCTCTGCAGAAATCTTTGGTCTGTGACAACGTTGGTGATACCCTTAAAATAAGTTTGTACATTTATGTACAACAGAATTCAAAATTTAACACAAAAAAGTACTGAAAACTTATTTATACAGCAACAAGTTATTTGGTGAGTCTGTAATTATACATGTAAGAGTGAAACTTTTTGAATTTGGTGAGATATCTAAAAAAAATACATACAGTTCTTAAGCCAGTCTGGTTTTTGCTGCTACATTTCAGTTTCCAATAAAATACCATATCTTTTTTTTTAATTCATATTACCTATACCCTGGTTTATTTTCCACATACTTATAATAATGCCCCAAAACTGTTAGTGTCAAAATAATAGTACTCAGAAGGTAAAATCCTTTTTCTTCTTCTAAAACCATAGCTTTACAACAAATCCAGGGCGTACTTTATTCTTCTTTTGCATTTGAAAATGCAGCATTTTTTTTTCGTTTTTCAAAAAGTTCAATTTATTCTTTAGGAAGTGCAAGTTATTAGTAAACATTCTACTTAAGATTTTGAGAGGATGATAAAAAATAATGATGCTAAAGTATATTTTTCAAAATCTTTTTTAAATTGCAATACCTAAAGGAAAATAAATATATTGTATACAGTTATCTATTTCATTAGTCTACTATCTCAGTGAAATTCCATTCTGTTAACACTCATCATTTTGGTGCATTTATGCTAGTTTAATGTAGGTGTTGGGACAACAAACCTTGAGAAGGAAGATGTGTTTTTTCTGCTGGAGTGCCATTTGAATAAGCTTCATCATTGACAAAATGATTATATACTAAAACTTACCATTAAATACCGATATGCATTCAGCAGAATACACAGCTGCTTCTCTTAGAGATAGCTCCAAGCATAATAAAATTGTGGTTTATTCTTTTTGTCTTCAAGTTTTATATCCTAGTGTACTTCAGTTTGATTAAATTTGGTTGAAACAAATGATGAATGTTATTTCTTTCAAACCACTGCTGGATGTGGCATGAACTATCATCATGGTAAAAGAGGTACAATCCTTCTTGAGAATTCAATCAATGCAATATTGTCCAGAGCATTGCAATATAACACAGCAATTAACAATATCTCCTTTAATTGTTACTAGTGGATCAAATCAAAAACAGTTAAAACAGACCTTTAAAATGACACTAACCCCAACTTTTCTTAGCAGGAAAATGCAGACATACTCAAAGGGTTTTCAGGTTGTTATAAAAACCAAATCTGTCCAACTATTGCAACAATCCTTCTCAGCATTTCTACTCCTTCAGCATGTTACTCACAGTGAACATGGGTACGAGTAGATGGGTTACATTTATACTGTCAATGCTGCATCAAACAACTACCCCTCTTAGGAGGTCCAAAAGCTCCTTTCTTCCAGACATCTTGATACTGACTGGACATAGGTAGCTTCTATAGGGACGTGTCAATAAAAAAATAAGTTGATTATAGACTAATCTGTATTGTGCGATTACCATGTAATGTCTGTATTGATAGCCTTTCAGACAATTTATACAGTAATGCCATAGACATGACAAACCACTAACATGTAGTTCTGTAAACTCTGTCTAATGCAAGGCTTAACAGATTTGTAATTTGACAAAATATACAAGCATAATTATTATGCATAATGGTGAAATCAGATTAATATACAGATACTAGATGTGGAAAATACCTGTCTAATTCTAATGGTTTGTCTCAGCAAACAGTTTACTGTTCAAAATGAAAACTTGTGTAATATCAGTGGTCCCATTATTTTCCGTATTATATGGAGACCACACAATTAAAAAATATTCTTCCAGATTTTCCAGTCCAGCAAACAAGTGTGTGGCACATACTGATATTTTTTAACTTTTCCTCATAATTCTAACTAATAAATATTATTTTAACTTGTAACATAGTTATAAAAAGAAATAAAAACTTCAGATTATACTTACTTCAGACTATGGTACAACAGAAAAAAAAATCTTCAAACAAGAATATTGCAAAGTTGATGGTCGGGGGCCAATCATCCCCGACTTTTCCAGGTTTTCAGATTTGTGGCCACCCTGTGTTAGACAGGTTTCACAATACTTCATATCTCAAGGTCTAGATGAATGATAGACAAGTGAGGCAGAGGAAAAACTTAAGGACTGTTCATATCTCCAGCCTCGGGCTGTTGGACTGCTCTACTTTATAATACTTGTGTTTGTCAAGGGGAAATGATTACTTTAGAATGAATATCAAATGCTGTGTGATGAATTTTTCTTCTACCATCTATGACTATTACAGATGTAAATGTATCAATTTAAACTTCTATTTGGAAATTTGAAGAATGTTAATAAGATAAAGATATTTGAGTCAGTAAAATTTATAAACAATAATGATTATCCTTACAAATTGTAGAAAAATGAAACAATAACCACAAAAAAGGTATCATAAAAACAATTTTGGCCATGAAAAGGTTCAAAATGCATTAACATTTTGTTGATTTAAATAAATAGATAAATCAATACAATCCAAGACAGATATTAGCCTTAATAAACCCTATGTAGCAGGGCATCATGGGATTTCTATGTAATTTCAGTTGGATATGCCTATTATTATCTAGATGTGCTGTCCCAGTAATTTTTTTGGTTCCATTGTTTATGCACCTTTTGAAATTTTGTTGTTCTATTCATTTTGATAACACAAACTATTTTATCAAACATTTTACTTTTGTTTTTCTACACTATGTAACAAGTTTTGGCTCTGTGAGAAGTCACTTAACTACTTTTTGTCATTTAGACTGTAAGAAAAAAAACTGATGTAACTATTAGATTAAGACATTAAATAGTAAAAATTATTACTGCTAAAAATATGAGTAATTGAATTGTGTGTAATCAAAACATCAATAGCAAATTTATATACTTCAATTAGACCAACTGCAAATCTTGTAGTTTACAATGTTACACAAATATGAATCACTTAATGAATATTCTCTTTGGACAACAACTTGCAGTGGGTAATGGGAAATAATTTTTATTACGTTAATTTTTTGTTTTGTACTTGACAAAGATCACACTAGCAACTGAAATGGTGTACGTAAATTCAAATAATAAAGATAGTTCACACTACCTACTGTAAGATGTCATCAAATCTTATTACTTTCAAGTTATTCCATGCCCTATTCAACATAAACTCAGTATGTTTGACATAAATTAGAAAACATTTTAATCATTTGATTGTCTTAAATAAGTACAGTAATTCAAATCATCCAATGCCACTGACTAGCATGCAATTCAAACTTAGTTTTAGGATTCAGAATAGCTAAATTTGGAGTTGTTAGTGTGTAAATGTGATGCCTTCTTGAATATTACAAGGTAATTTACATAAAATTTATTGAGTTTTAAACTCACAATTTCTAAAACGTTAAAAGAAACTTTAAACTTATTTGAGAGATAACTTAATATGTTGGGATTTTGTTTTGAAAATAAACAAAAGGCAACGCAAGTTTTTAAAATGAGCAATTTGTACCATGCTCCCTTTTCAAGTTTCACAACACATATATTTTTGTATTTCTAAATCTATCAATAGTTAACACAATAACCTTTCTTCTGTTCTTCTAATAAAATTTTTATTCATGATCCAAACCTTGAAAGCATACATACACAAAAATGAGAACCTGTACAGTTACACAAAGTCAGCATTGTTTAACTTATGATCTCCATTTCAGTTTTGGATATCAAATAATTTATCACAAAACAGACAAAGTACATAATGATTTTCTTTAATTGATCCAGTTCTGGAATCAAACTGATGAATATCACAATATAGTGCTTTTTCTCAGTGCTATAACAAACTGACAAACTTATTAAAGAATATTGATATGTGATATAATATGTGATATAACAAACTGACAAACAAACTTATTAAAGAATATTGATATGTGATATAATTCAAAACTGAATTTTAGTTTGAATTCTAGTGAATTTTAACACTTTTCAATAATGTTAAATTGTTACTATTGCTTGGTAACTTTTATGAATGAAAGTTTCATAGTGGAATTCCTTTACTAAATTTGTTAATGTTTTAAAGGCTGGGACAGTTTTAACATTACAAAAATTGCTACTAAATTAACAGGATACATGTAATTGTAGATTTATTTATAATTTCATTTGTGCAGAACTATTCTAGAATTTCTAGTAAATTCACACATTTAACCTTTAAGTGATATTTTGTATTTACAAATTGCATTCACAAAAGTTTAGAAAATGGATCTTATACATAAAAAAATAATATCAAATGTACTTTTCTGTATAATTCAAAAGGCTATTTAACTTGTTAAAATTATTCTTACCTAAGTTGCAATGGTCACAGATAACAATTTCATTTGGAGGTTCCGATTCTCCAATCTCACACTTCACACAAACAATTTCACCACCTGGCATAGTTCCTGAAATTGTTGAATAAATTCTGCTTATAACTCTGATGATGGTAACACATTCAAATCTTACTTAGAACTTCTGTATTATTCTGAACAGAACTTAACAATTTTCCACAAAAAAAAGATTTACCAGAACAATTAATTTCTGAATGCACAGTTGGAGGGGATTAGACTAAGCTATATATATACATTTAATATATATACGTGTGTGTGTGTGTGTGTGTGTGTGTGTGTGTATATATATATATATATATATATATACATATACACACACACACACACACACATAAAATTATGTAGAGAATGCCAAAAACATTATGCACAGAGCAAAATAGTTTTTGTATCAATTGTTTTTAGTATTACAAAGTAAGACTGACAGTTACTCATTTGTGCTCTACTGCACTTACTAAGTAACCCAAGTATTGTAGCATGTGGCATTATATTTTGAATACATTGTTCCACAAACTTAAGTTATAATCATAAGTGGCAGTCTGTTAGTATTTGATGGAAACGGCACAGTACAAGCCCAGTAATTGTGTACCCAATGCAGTTTTTGTTGGCCAAATGTTTACTTGTTGTATCTACCAACACTGTTCTAAAGATTACAAGATGTTTGAAATTTCACTAATTCAGTAGCAATCGATATATATCAGAAGCAAAGTTCATATTTGCTGGTTCTAAAATCATCTAGTGTTGGTACAATTTTTAGTGATTATATAGACATAAGGTTTTCCTGTTGCAGCAAACTGGTTAAATCCTTGTTGATGTGTACCAAGAATATAACGGCAAAGATGTAAATATTATTTGAAGGACATATTGCTATGTATGTTTCATTTGAAATTGTACCTAAGGTAGTCATATATATATCCCTAGAAAATTGACTAAAATTTTAAAATTGTATCAGACTACATTTTTAAAGTAAATTTACCTGTATATTGCTATTATGTTTGCAGTTTTAGTTTAATTTGTTTCCAAAAATGTGTTTGTTTATACATTTCCATACTATACAATACATAACTACTCTTTAATTTATTTACTACATCGTTTAAGAGGTGGAATTCATCAAGTTATATTCACAAAACTTTTATGTGTACATCTTTACATGCTCCCTATTAAACAAAATTGTAGGAATACTGCAATCACCTTTCCTTCCTCAACGACAAGTGAAACTTACAAGAAGTAATAACAAATCTAATGTGAATCATCACAATGGCAAAGGCTTTAATTGAGCTGTTAAATTTTTAGATATGAAAGATACAAATATTAAATTTATGTGTGACTACTTTGAAACTTTTTGGATATTTCATGCAAAAAAACCTTATAACCAGCTACAGTTTATTTAACAACTTGTTGATTAGTGCATATGTCCTACACACCCTCCACCATAACTTTTTAAAACACTGCATTATTCTGTCTCATGGTATTACTCCTTTTGCAAAAAAAACAACAAACACACATTTTTTGTCTAAATATTTTGCTACAATTATTTTTAAAAATAATCTAGTCTACTTGGTGAATGAATCGCTAACATTGACTATATACCCCCACCAAACAGTCACCATTATGTTTGTTTTTACAATATGTAGTAATTATACACTGATCTCCTACAAATCAAATAAACTGATAATTATAAAATGAAACATGTTTTACTATCATGGATAAGTGTAATAATGTTTATATTTAAAACGTATCACAAATGCAATCAGCAATAATTAAGTAGGCAGTTAGCCAATTTGTTTACATACATTTTTTGAATAGAATAAGCAGCAATCATGCAACAAACTTGCTGTTTAATATTTATTTACCTATCAATCAATTGTTGTAACAGTACAGGGTATACAGACTTGTTATTCCAGACAATTCAGTATTGTTTTTTTTTATCTTTATAGGCATGTTTAAGTCAATTTTGAGGCTTTAAATATTGAATCTATGACTACATATTTAGTTATTCAAACACTTTGTAACCAACCGAGTGAAATTAATAATAATATTTTATTTATTTGGCAAACTAGTACTCAACCAAAGTAGTAAAAATTAGTAATTTTTATATTCTTCAAGTAGCCTAAATTTAAAGTCAAACACATGGAAGTTATAATTTTCCTATACTGAAAATGTATTTCTAGTAGGTACTTATCTCCCTCACATAAATAGCTATTCTCATTCAGTACCACCCTCTATATGCAAAATTATTTTGTCTCATGCCACAAGCCTTGAGCTCCCACAAACCTCGCAATCAATGCGGTTCAACTGAGTCTTGCATGTAAAGCATCATGCGACAACCCTCCTGATGTATGTAATTCCCTCTATTCAATTCTACCGAACTATCACTTTGGAAACACCGGTTTTCAGTGGGGAGGAAGGGTGGGAAGTGTGAGAGGAAATAAGTACGTATCGGAAATACATTTTCAGAATAGGTAAATTATAACTTCTGATACGGTACATTACCTCCTCTCACATAAACATTTAGAATCTCACATTGAATAGGTGGAGGAATTGGTGCGATGGAAAGAAAGAAACATCCTTCAAAAGCATCCAAAGGACACTCTAAAAGGGGGGATCGTCATAGTAGAGGATTATATGTGGGAGACTGCACCATTTAGGTACCAGGCATATTCAATGCCCAGTGTGGAAAGAGGTGATGCAGACATGGAAGAAAAAGAGAGAGAACAATGGTTGGATAGGTATTCGAACCACTTGATATCTAAACCTCAATCCCATAGATGACAGTAATGTGGGTGAGTGTAAAAAATATGTGCCCCAAAGTGTAGTGTGGCTAGGGTGCAAAAGACTGTACACAGCAAGTCAACTGCATCCCAAATCCAGCCACCAGTAATCCACATCCATGCAGAGTAGGATGAGGATCATACCATTGGTAAGTCAAATACAATCCAAAACCCAGCCACCAGCAACCGACACCCATGTGGGGGTAGGAAAGAGGATCATATACTGCCAGTAAGTCAACTACAATCCAAAATCCAGCCATCTGGTGGGGTAGGAAAGAGGATCATACCATCTTCACCTCAAATTCAGCAGACCAGAAGGAAATATCATATCCACCGATCTGTGAACAGGACACATGACAACAAAGTGATAAAATGTGTGACCAATTCGGAAACCCGACATCCAGATGATCGGAATAATAAAGATGTTTCTGTATGTAAACTATCCTACTCAAAACTAATTAGATAGGAACCACACCCATCCCAGTAACATCCACAGTATATGAAAATCTTTGAGAGATAGCATAAGAGGAAGAACTGTAATGACCTGCATGACCATCCACTGTGACCCACAACACGGTACCAGTGAACATGAGTCCAATTGAGTGAAGGAACAGAGACATCAGTAATACATGTGTGATGACTTATGTTGATTGGTCCAACTCTGAATCCAAAACCCAACCACTGGGAACCAACATCCATGTGGGAGTAGGATGAGGGATCCCAATTGAAGAGGTGAACTGCAATTTTGATGGCTCACTCCAAAGCTACAACATCCCCTCAGGTAGACCTGTTCAGAGATGGAGTGTCAAATTGGAGGACATCTTGTCATCTACACCAGCAGAACACTGCCGCCCTACTCTCAACTGAATGGATTCATTATTGTTTGTATCATATATCACTATCACATTCAGGAAGATGCCTCCATGGTCCACCAACCCAGCGGTTTGGAACTGGAAAGTGGTAAGGACTCTTGTACTCCACTGGAAGATAAAAGGGGGGGTAAAAATGCAGTGGAAAGTCCGGAGGAACATTAACACTGGAAAAAGTGCAATGGGAGACCAAGAAATTCCTATATTGAAAAGCAGACCACTCCTGATTTATTCAATCTAAGGAATGGCAGGGATGGGCAGCTATCACATTCTGCTTAACCCTTGAAGTCCATGGATTAGTATGGTCTGGTTCGAGCATATGAATCAGAGCTAAAATTTTGATGTAAATCCGCAAATCGATTTGCACAAAGTCTTCCAAAAATTCATGTAATTTGAAGATTTTAAAAGAAGTTTACCTGGTCAATCCATAGCAGAAATATTTACATCTAGATGTGCATGTGCAATATAGTGGGTATTTGGTAGCCAAAGTTGCACGAAAAATCATTATTCAAAACTGAGTTTGAGCATCGAACTAATAAATAGCCTTGCTACGAAAGCAAATACTGCCAACAGTACATGTAATCGTCCGATGTTCAAACATGCTATTTTATATATACATTAATGAACTCAAATTATTCAAAGTTGAACACCACTGACAACGTATGTAAGCATCTGATGCTTATGCATGCTTTTTCATCTATACAATAATGAACTCAAATTATTCAAAACCAAACATTCACTATTTAAACGTCATTTTCATTGGACCTGTCACTGGGGAATGCTATCACATGCATTGAATCATGCAGTTGATAATCATGGATGACTTGAGAAATACTGGCAAAACGATCTCAGTGAAAGCTTTGAATAATTGGGAACCTGACCTCAAAGATATGTAGGATTTTGTCCTTGATGACACTGGAGAAAAAGTTGTAAAAGTAGTATGCAAGATTAAAATTTGGAATTGACATTAGATCTAGCTAGCCATTATTTTAGTACATGATTTAGCTCCTATCCTGCCCACGTTATTGAGTATTTTGTTGTTTTTAACTCTAAACATAAGCCTGTAACCTTTTCTGTTTCAGATACAAAGGCAAAGTTGTAAATAACATAAAAAAATTATGGAAAATACGATACAAACTACTTGTTAATACCTAATTTAATCTGGTACATTACATCTGAGACACACAAGAAATGCGTGAAAATAGAAATTGGAGAGCCTGCTTACAAGAAACAAAAGTCCTTAGCATCTTCATTTGTCAGTGCAAGGGAGATGACTAAAAATGCACCAAAGCCTTTAATAACTGCAAGTATATACTTGGGACGTACAGAAAAGCCACATTCACAATTTTCAGGCCTTCTTGAGACTGTTGATGAAATGGAACTGAATATAATTTCAGCATTGAACAACAACAAAGCA